CAAAAGCTCACAAAGGATCATATATTCATGAATTAAAAACATCAACCAATCATTCAAATTCACAATTCCGTCAATTCTCAAATTCCTTCACTTAGCACATTATGCCCGAATTATATATCAAATATGCACAAGAAACTCATCAAGTTGGATCAAAGTCAACCAACTACAACTACTCAAATCCTAAGAAAGCAATAAACGTGCTAAAGCGATAAAACCTAACATGCAACTAATTATTATGCAAAGATAATGCAAGATATCTTGTTATCTTCTCTCTAAAATTCTCAAATCAAAATACCACATCTCCCTCCCAAACTTGAATGAAAATATATGAAGCACAAAAGGGAAGAATAGAATTTCAACAAAAGAAAAATAGAGAAAACTTACAAAACATCATTGAAGAGACGACAAATTGGTATAGATCTCGAAGCATATCCTTCGTCATGTGGATCTCTCCATGTAATATTCTGTAAGGAAGAAAAACAAAATATCAAATAAACAAAAAAAATAAAAATAAATAAAAAAATAAAGCAATAAACATTGGGTTGCCTCCCAACAAGCGCTAAGTTTAACGTCTTCAGCCAGACGCCTATGAAGTTCGATCAAGAGTTCTTCAAATCAATGTAGGATTGTCCATGGACTGAAAAGGTCGCTTCATCTCGTGCAATCAATTCTTCTTTTTTCTCTGTCAGTACTGTCATTCCTCCATTTTTCGGTACCGCTTGCACTAGACTCATCCACTCATTATTAGAAATAGAAAATATAATCCCGACATCCAACCATTTAAGTACTTCTAACCTCACAACTTCTTTCATAACGGTGTTAAAGCGTCGTTGATTTTGCACAGATGGTCTATAATCTTCCTCTAATCTTATTTTATGCATGCAAAGTGATGGACTAATACCTTTAAGATCAGACGTAGACCAACCTATAGTCGACTTATATGTATGCAACACCTTCAACAATCTATCTAATTGCTCAGAAGTTAGAGAAGATGATACAATTACCGGATATGTGCAATTATCACCCAAGTATGCATATGTCAGATGATCTGGCAATGGTTTGAGGTCCATAATCGGTGCGTCGGGCTTTGAAGAACTTGATTCGGCTGAAAAAGGGGTAGACAGTACACCTGACACGACCTCCGACACGGGCCGTGCTTGATGGTCCGGGTCGTGTCGTCGTCCGTGCTCCAAAAGCCGTACCTGGGCACCTGACACGGGCACCTGACACGGGCCGTGTCGCCGTCCGTGTCGCATTTGAAAATTCTGAGTTTCTCCCAGGTTTCTGACACGGTCACCTGACACGGGCATAATGCCCGTGTCACTGCCCGTGTCAGCTCTGCGCGACTTATTTTCAACTCCGATTTTTACCGTTTTGCTCTCCGAGTTCATCATATCTTCCAACTTGATCACATCACCTGAATCAATAAAGTTAGTATGCATATTATTATCATGAAGTATAGGCTTATGTATTGAAAATAACACATGCTCATCATTAATACGCAAAGTAAGTTCTCCCTTTTTGACGTCAATCAACGCATCTCCCGTTGCTAAAAATGGACGCCCTAGAATCAATGGCACGTCACTATCTTCCTCCATGTCCAATACAACAAAATCAACAGGAAAAGTGAAGTTATCAATCTTGACATGCACATCCTCAACAATCCCCTTCGGACACGTTATCGAACGATCCGCCAATTTCAAAGTCATTGTAGATGGCTTCACTTCTCCCAATCCGAGCTTCCTGAAAATTGACAAAGGCATGAGATTAATACTAGCACCAAGATCACATAAAGCTTTGCTAAAGAACATATTCCCAATAGTGCAAGGAATTGTAAAGCTCCCGGGGTCCTTAAGCTTTGGAGGAATCGTGCGTTGGAGGATCGCACTACACTCTTCCGTTAAGGTCACCGTCTCAAGTTCCTCAATCTCCTTCTTCTTCGCAAGTCGTTGAGGAAACGGTAAAGAGATAGAAAGTTTAGGAGAGCCAAAGTTGGAATTAAATGTAATCCCAGGCCTTGACGTTGCTATCACACTTGGTTCCTTCATTAACTCATCACAAACATTCTCCTCTTCACTTCGTAGATAGATGGCATGACATTGCGCTTTTGGGTTCAACTCGGTATTGCTAGGAAATTGACCCCTTTGGTGCTGGCTTCCCACGGCCTTGGCCAGTTGACCAATTTGCATCTCCAAGTTTTTCATTTGAGCCTCCATTGTCGTAGCCAATTGTGTCACATGATTCTCAATCTTGTCCAACTTCTCTTCATCTCTGTTGAAACGATTTCTCGTCTCATTCATGAAAGCTACCAGAATATTTTCCATGTCCATCTTCTTCTCTTCGACAATCTCGCCATTCACCACCTTAAACCCCGGCGGTGGTTGGAGCACATTCTTTGTATATCCATAGGAAAGATTTTCATGATTCCTATTATTCGGGTGATAAAAACCCGGCACCGGATTAGGGCGATAGTTGCTGAAGTTTCGATTATTGATAAAATTGGCCTCTTCTAAGGGATCCGGTGGTAACACATTACCTTGTACTCCACTCACCTCATCAGCTCCTTTCGTCAAAGCATTCAATTTTGTCGTCAACGACGACATCTGAACCGCTAACTCCTTAATTGGATCAGAAGATGTCACCTCCGCCACACGTCTGATGCTCGATCTCTCGGAAGGCCACTGATAACTATTCATGGCCATCTCTTCCAACAAATTGGACGCTTCCTCCGGTGTTTTAGCCAATAGAGCTCCTCCAGCAGCCGCATCTACAAAGGCTCTCGTTTGGCCCAACAACCCGTTATAGAAGAAACAAAGTTGTTGATCCTCCGGAAAACCATGTTGAGGGCATCTTCTCAATAATTCTCTAAATCGATCCCACGCCTCGTATAAAGGCTCCGAGTCTTGCTGCCTAAATTGGGTAATCTCGCTTTTGAGTTGCATCGACTTGCTTGGAGGAAAATATTTAAGTAGAAACTTCTGGTTCAACTCCTCCCAAGTAGTAATGCTCCCATCAGATATCATTGACAACCAACTCCGAGCTTTATCCCTTAGAGAAAAAGGGAATAGACGCAGCCGTATGGCATCCTCAGAGACACCATTGTACTTGACCAAATCACA